CGCCTTCGAACAGCGTTCAGTGGCCTTGAGCCCCTTTTGGGCACCTTGAACTGAAGCGTCTAGAGGTGCCTTCAAGCAGCCGTCCGGCGCCGTCGAGCGTAGTTCTGCACAAACCTCGAGGAAACACGGAGCCCCGCAGAGTGTTCAAGAGGGGCAGAGACGTCTTGGTAACCGTTAAAACCCCTGCAACGCGTATTATACAGCCCTACATAACTAGATAAGATTCCCAAGTGGTCTTACAGAAACTCGTCCGCACTAACGACTTTGGAATCGGAACAGTTGAATTGGCTTTCCTATGCCTTTTACCCCCTCTTGCTTGGTACTCTAAGCCTGAATGAAAAACAGACTTCAGACTCGCACTGGCTGCAAGGAAGCTGTGAGGTGCGCGCTGGAATGTGGAGGGGGGATGGCATGCGATGGAGAAGACAAGCCAGTGCTCCACGTGGCTGCGCGCCAGGGCTTCGCTGAGGGCCTCGTGCTCATGCTCCAGGCCGGCACCCAAGTGCGGGCACTTCACCCTTCAAACCCTTTATAAGCCCTTTTAAACCCTTTGAACCAAATTGAAGCCCTTTTGAACCTTTTGAAACCCTTTAGACTCTAGACCCAAAGCGGCCGAATGACAAGCAACACCATGAGGGCAACTGCCCCAGGTTGTGGGACCAATCTTTTCTGCATGGGCATTTTGCAGGGACGACCGGTGCAAGGATCTGGGGATAGCTGTTCCTGTAGAGAGGGGGGGGGGGCACAAGGCCTCATAGGCCTGCGCGTTCTCCAGGCTGGCTTTAACCCGAATCTCCCAGACACGCTACTCACTCAGCATTGGTCTATGATGTTTTTGCAGAGCCGCACGTACCTTTCTTCCCACGCAGAGAGCAACGGCGTCTGAACTAGGAAGACCGTGTCACCATCTACGAGGCCTCGCAAGAATCCAAAGGTAGGTCAACCGAGCGAGGGGACGGCATAGCCATACTGCCCCGAAAGTTGCTGCCTGTAGATCTACCCTTATGTTTTCGGGTTCGTACGCTCACTTGAGGAAGTGTAAAGTTAGTGACAGTCAGTGACTTAGTGCTACACCTAGAGCCTGCCAGAAGAAAAGAGGCATTCCAAAGGCATCGCAGAAGCACCTCGAAGGCTTCTACAGTACTCCAAACATCAAGACCAAGACCCCCCCACCTGCAAAGGCGAGTAGTCATGGCGTCTGTTGTCAGATTCCCCTATGGCCCTATGCAACGACCAAAGAGAGACATGTTATCTGGAACATGGTCCTGGTAGAATGCAAGCACTGCCGAGTAGCTCTGAGCCAGTACACCCAATACGCCATGTTTGGTGGCGAATTTCTCGATGCTACCCAAGCTCCAGACCGGTGTCTCGGAGACTGACCTTCTCGTCCAGCCCCTCGCAACTACGCTGCCAGAGCAGACACCTGCGATGCTCCTGTACGTCTTCTCCGCCGCTCTAAAATCACATTGTGCGTGCAAACTGAAGAGACATCTGCCCGAGCTGCGGTCCTTTCCGCTCTGACTCTGCATGGCTTCGTCCTCACATCATCGAGCGTATCCTCAAGGCGCTTGTACCGGCGATGCGGCTACGAGTGAAGGAAGGCTCGGTGAAAGTTCCAGGGACTTTGCATATGTCTGCAGTTTTTGCAAAATGGTATTGGGAAGAATCACAGCACGGGTCCTGCTCGACGCGTGCAGGCTCCGGCACTCCCCTACCCCCAGCCGAAGGTTCTCCAGTGGGTCGTGGTGAGCCTTGCATTAGCCACGGCGCGTGGGCATCTGTCATCTGATCCTACCGCGATAGCATGTCAAACAGCAGCTTGCTGTGATTGTGTGCTTCACGTACGGACGCTGACCTGAGAGAAAGCACCGATGATGATGCCCATGGCCTGCCCCATGGCTACCTTGCAGGACACACCTACAAAAGACAACCAACACTAGCAACTCATGCAGTATCACGCAGTCTCTACAGGGCTTGGTAGCCATGTGCTGGGTACCGTGCAAGACGGTAGCGGCTGGCCCTCCAGACGCGTACAGCCGTGAAGCTCGGCTGCATGATGCTGATCTTAACTTAGCATCGATAGCCCTGATCGACCTTGAATTTGTTGGCAGGAGCGGTCTATCTATCTCTGTATGCAAAAGGGCATGCTCGCCGTGGAGCCGCCAAGCAGCTGCAGGGCCAGCAAATGTCGACTACATGTTGACGGATCCTGTCATGAGCAGCCCCGCCCTCAATTCGTTGCACTGACGAAATCAGCGCTCTCCAACCCTGCTAGTGCGGTCACCACACGGCAACATGAACTTAATGCTGCAGGGGCATGTCCGACGCTCAACCTGCGCTGAGGGTTTGGGGACACCAAAGAAATCGCCACAAACGATTGGGGCAATTTCTTGCCAAGCGATACCCATACATGTCGCAAGCTGTGACACAGCTCGCCTGCAGCACCGGTCCTGCGCACTTTTCCTGTGGCGTTAGAGGCTGCGCAGGGCAACAGCTAACCTCACAATGATGGGATCAACCAAGCCGCAGTAGCTATCTTAGCGCACAAAGATTCCACAACGTTGGATGTAAGTTTGCCGTTCCCTCTCACTGTGAGGATGGTCCGTGCAGGAGGCTGACCTTTGCAGGCAGAGCCAGGCCATTAACCTCCAAGGTTGCATGCACCATGACTTCCGACTTGTCAGCCCGAGCACTACGAGTCTGGCCCCTAAGGCCCTACAAGTAACTAAGACTTAGTTGCTACGTCTTGCTTCAGGAGTTTCAAAAGCCGAGCTGCGATTGCACGCCCTGCACCTGTCCCCCCTACCCCCCTCTACACCCCCCTTCCCCCCCCCGACACCTCCTCCTTATCTTGTCGCTATGCTTTCCACATGTTTTTCTCCGCCACCCCTGCTCTGCCCTTCCCCCCCCCCCCCCACCACCGCCTCCCTTATCCATTCCTGTTGTCTCGCCGCTGCCGCCACCACAAGCCGGGCCGCGTAGCTTAAACATTGGTACTCAGCAAACAAGCCCGGATGACACTTCAAGTTCGGGCCGAGAATTGCTGCAAGGGGCAGGCTTCAGAATGGCAGAGTAGCAGCTCTCCCTGGACAAGTCTGCAACTGGAAGCCACCTGCGGCATCTCCTCACAAAGGCTTGAGACTGGCCACGAAAGGTATATACGCGGGCCTGACAAACTGTTTGCAACGCCGGCGAAATGTGCCCTGAACTGTTTGCTCGACCCATGCTTCTGGGCTCCAGAAACCTTCACTTTCATTCACTGCAGACAGACATGAGCTGAAACTTTGAGGATGCAAGAAGAGTGCGCTGCACGTCTAAACTCACAAACTTGGATCCTTCCAGCCCTTCATTTCCAGGCACGGTATGATCGCTTGTAAAAAGTTGGGGGTGAGTGCGCTGGCTAGGAACACCCACTGGGCTGCTAGAGTTCATCGTTCCAGCAAGAACATTTAAGACAGTTTCCAACAAGCAAGCTTCTTGGCTGTGTTCCACAACCTTTGGGGGGCTTGGGGGGGTGGGGGGGTAGCCTCAAGACCTGAAGATTGATGGAATCAATCATTTGTGCATTTGAAAGGGGGGGGGGGCCGTGGCCACTAAGTCATTGATTTTCATTCCACGGCTGGCCCGCGGTCGTTTTGATTGATTGGTAAACGGCAACTCTCGCACCCTTTCTGTGCCTGTCTTCAGCCTTTGATTTTCCATCGCTCTTCATGTTGTTGCGAACTTGAGCACTGTGTGTGCCCGGTGTCAATGCTAAGCCGAAAACCTAAACTCTCGTGGCCTACTCGGTGCACGAGACGAGCACAGGCGTGTTGAGCAACAGGCTCCTGCACATCTTTCCCGGAGCGCAGTTCAGCATGGAGACCTTGGACTCAATTGCTGCAGCAACTGGAGACAGACCCCGGACAGTTTCTTCATTGCAGCCCATGAAAGAAAGCATGGCCAGCGCAACCAAAACTGCCTCCCGAACTCCCTGTGAGATATGCCTTGCAACATGTTGCAAGGCATGGTGGTAGAAAGAGTCGGTGCTGAAGATTGCTGAAATTGATCCAGAGAGAACGGGTCACCAACAAGCCAACCACTACTCAACCGCACCTGCGATGGGAACAAAGGTCTCGCATGCCATCTTCGACGTCCAGTACAGCTCGTAGCATTCAACTATTCTCGGCACAATGCCGCTAAAACCCCTGCTATACCGACCAGCACAAGTCTTCTTTAGACCCGCCAAGCTCTTATCATCTCAAAATGTTGTGGTTTCAAGTCCTCAATGCAGTGTGCCCTTTTAACGGTACTCATAATGTCATATTCCGTCATTTTGTATCAATGCACCCTGGAATCACACATGTCACATGTTCTACCTTGTGCCAGTTGCTTACGTACGCTGGGTTTATGTCAGCGCCCACCTCCGCAAAGGAATCCGGGAAATTGCCAGCCAGGGCATTGCAGCAACCCACGGCTCCTTGTGGCAGGGGCTCCGGACTCCCAGGGTGTTGGCGATGTCTGGGGATGAGCACTGTTCGACAACACAGTCTGAGACATACTTGCCGATGAAATCTTGCAGCTGTAGCATGCTATGAGGTACAAACAGAACAAGTACTAAAAGGTGAGATACTGTAATGTGAGTGTATGGTGTCCGGCTGGTGTCAGGCCTCTCTGTTCTCAACGATGTCGTGGAGGAGCAACATCCATCACGATAAGCACCACACAATCCAACAATTGCCGCAATGTGCCATACCGTAAAATTACAAGCCTCTTCCCGAGCAGGGCATCAACGACCGACAAGGACATCTTGGAGTAAACCTTTACAACTACTAAGCCCACCCGTGAACGCAAACAAAAAGCGCCCTGAACCGTAGCTCGTTTTTTTTTCGACATCTTGTCTTCTTCGTCAATCTGAAGAATGCCAGCTTGGCTCTGCCTCTGGCAGCCTGGGCGGCTCTCATGCCAGCACGGCTGACTTTCTCTCTATCCGCGCCGGCAGCGAGCAGCAAACGGACAACTTCTAAGTGACCACGTCCGGCTGCGCGACAGAGGGCCGTCTCGCCATGCATGTTGGCATGGTCGGTGTGAGATCCAGCTTCCACCAGCAACCGCGCGATTCCGGTATTTCCTCGGACAGATGCGCAAATGAGCGCTGTTTCGCCATAGACGTTCGCAACGTTTGTGGAAGACCCTGCCTGCAGCAGCAACTGCACCATGTCGAAATGGCGCCTGTAAGCTGCGCAGATGAGAGCTGTGTTGCCTTCGTTGTCGGTTGCGTCTATCCTTGCCTCTGCTTCAAGCAGAAGTTGCACCACCTCAAGGTGCCCAGAGCATGCAGCCATCAGAAGAGGGGGCATGCCGTTGTTGGTGCTGTTCATGTTTGGATTCTGAGGTCGGTGTAGGATAGCGCTCACGGAAACCGTCGAGCCACTCGCTGCTGCCCATGCCAGATCATCTGCATGCTCCTGCAGGGTGTCTGGGAAGGACAGCAGCACCAACTGCACATCAGCCGCAAGATCGAACATGAAATCATCATGCAATGGACGACCATTGCACAGGAGGTACTGTCTGAATCGCGGCACCCCCAAGAGGCTGTGCAAGTGTCGCTTCAAGTTCTTCACGACACTCAACTCTGCTATGGGGAGGCAGGCGACCTCTTCCCCCGACAGGCAGCGAACACGCAGCATCGACCAAGAATACGAAGAATATGGTAGTAACCGGTAGTAGGCGATACAAACCCTCTGTTCTGTGCTTTGGGCCGACAGCCAGCAAACTTATCCAGACCCTGACACTTGCAAGCAATCCGACATACGAAGCCTTACTCGCGCCCTCTCCTCTGCCGCCCGGCCTTCGACAATGTGCTTGACGATTGAACATCAGGCGACCATGAATCGGTGGCCACGCCCTGTGCGCAGAGCTGATAGGGGACGGGACCGCTCGGGGCGTTTCGGGCTGCGATTTGAAGTGTTAAGGGATATGCATATACCTATATATATATATATAGAAACATGATATGTGTATATATATATATATATATATATATCTATAAATACTAGGCTTTCTGGCGGGGGTGAGCTCGAACACCCCACCTTCAAAACCACTTTGAACTCGACTGGATCCAACCACCTTGAGTAGGCATCCTTTCCTGGCAGGCCTGTGCGTGGATCACTTGCACTTCGGGACGGGGACGGCATGCGGGTGCTCCGCCACGATGACTCGGAAACTGAGTTGGAGGTCAGCAATGACACCACGTGGCGGATTGGCTCGCCATGTCAGCGGCGAGACCCGGGCTTTGGCAAGGGCGCACCTGTCAAGTGCTTGAAAGCCTTGGGCGTGTGGCAAAGATGGATTGAAAGCGTGAACTGATGGGATCTGCTCAAATGTGAAGGCTCGCCAATTCAACCATGGCACAAACACGTGGTACGGTAGTTCCAAGACAGCAGACAAGTGCCAGGGCGATGGTGGGACATGCCAAAGTTAGGGATTGGTGAAAGACATGCAAGCAAGCAATAAGGCACCTAGTGTTTTCTGTATAAGTGCAGGCAACATGTAATATCATGTGATCAAAGTTTGCGTGCGTTACGCTTCTCCCGTCGGTATTGCGAGTGCAACCAGAAACTGAAACTGCTTTGTGTGCTCAGCATCGCCACTGCTAAAGGTTGCATTCGCGCAAATTAGGTTGGGCTGCAATGCCATGTCCAAGCTACTCAAATTACATTCCGCACGCATGTAACTAGGCAGCGAGGCGTATGCCACATGTTCCGGTCCGCGTCAGTTCCTTCTGTCAACAAGGGTGCGATAAGTGTGGAATCCCAGCACGAATTGCAGATCAACGCGTGATTGCAGTGTGAGTTGCATAAGCACGTCCTCATAAGCCTTGGCAACCTCTTGCCAAGCGTTTCACACCCGCACCTCGCAGCTTCGGCGCTGGTGTACCACTGACGAAGACAACACCAGAACACAACAGGTTTGTGCAACCCACATGCTTGTTGAGGCAGGTAGGTCGAACAATTTTTTCCAAAAAGGATGCAAAAGGAGCCCCCCCCCCCCGTCCCGTACCACATCCCTGGCTCGATGTCAAAAGCTTCCTAAAGCTCGGGTCTTTCTCAGATAGCCAGCTACAGCAAAAGCTTCCCCCAATTCAGGTTTGTCGGCACTCTTCCTCTCTTTGTTCTCTCTTGTTTTCTCTCGCTCTCTCTCGATCTGTCCCTCTCTGTCTCTCCCAGTCACGCTCTCTCTCACCCAGACCCGTACCATACCACCACGCCTCCAGCATCACACCCACCCACGCACCCACCCCAGGCCCACAGCACCAACCGCATCGCAAACACCATCACCGCACCACAACGAATCCGATGCCCCTGCCATGTCACCATCGGACTGAGATGAGGATGAAGCACACGCTGCTCGTGATCGTGCCGGTGGTGATGACGAAAAGGATGGCAATGATGCTGATGGCGACGACGACGACGACGATGATGTGGGTGTGTGCATACATAACATGATACACACGATGCGGGTGTTGAAGAAGTGGGGGATAGGGGGGGTCGAGATTGATTGTTACAAGGAAATCTGTCATTATTTTCTTTTGGGAGGAGGGGTGGGAGGTCAATGGGCTCTTTCCAAGCGTCAGGGGTGGGAATGCGCTTGTGGTGTACGATGGCTTACTGCCAAGTTTTCATGCATTATGCGACGATTGGCATCCTCAGGCCCTCGTCACCATCATCAAGTTTTCACCATCAGCTACAACATCACCGTACCAATCAACAAATATCGCGCGCCATGGAGGCAGCCTCATCGACATCGTTCGGTTCAAAAATCCTCCCCCGCTCCCCACCCCCCTCCGACCAACCACTACCACCCGCCCCGCCCCCGCCATTATATGACAGAATCTATAGCCCACACCTTTGCGGACCTTGTCTAGCCAAGGCTAAATTCAAGCCTAATTCCGCTAGCATTTGGGCCACGAGCTGGCTGTCATGATTAGGTGCCAGAACCATTCGGCATATTCGCTATTCGGCTGCGAGGGCCTTCAAGTCGATGGGGCTCACATCGAAGAGGCTGAGCATTGAAGAATCCAAAGGCTGCCTCAACCGGACAACAATTCCAGTCGATGATTTCCTGTGAGCAGTGAAGGCCCGTATGGCACCGAAGGCCCGTATGGCACCGAAGGGCGTGCCCGCTCCAGAAGTACTCCCTAAAGAAACGCTTTTGAAATCATTGGGCTCACAAGTACTGCCCGTGGTGCTCGAGGAAGTGCTCCAACGCACGAAAGCTGAACTCTGAGCCCATCGCCAGCCTTCTCAAAAAGCGAGCACAGCAGCCATGGCATAAAGCCATGGCAGTCTACATGGCAAATCCTGTGAAAAAGTGCTTTGTTAAATCTGCCTGGGCTGGGTGACTTCAAGCGATTCTGACAAGGCATACTTGTTCAAAGACTTGCTTAGCATGAGATGTGCAATTTTGAGTCAGCTTCTAGAACAACGTTCGGATAATGCCGGAGATCTACTTTGCCAATGCAAAACGAGTTGGTTGCATATAGCAGCTGCTGATCGTGGAATCCCAGTTCGACTGGGGACGCGAGGCTCTCAGATGCCCTCGGCCTTTTACCAAAAAGGGAGCATGCTAGTGCTGGGAAAATGTACGGATACCGTGACCTGCGCATCTGCAATGCCACTGCAGTCCACCCAGGAAGACTTGCTGGCGGCATGTCGCGGCTGAGCTCTGCACTCCCTCCGGGAATGGGCTCTCAAACTGACTACAACTCACTACGCAAGTACGGCGCAGGCTCCTCGCTTGCACCGCTACGTGGGTGCAACAAGCGCGGCGTCAAAGTTCTTCAAGCAGGGCGCTGCTCGCAAATTCTGGAATTCGCGTTTTCACACAGCCGCCGGGCACATCGAGCCGCTTCTGCTCAACAACCACCGCTGGCTCAGATTTCGGAGGCTTTCGGGCCTTGCGCAGCCGGCTCTTCAGGCTTTGCCTCACCAGCTGGCACCCCAGCTGCTCTGCCTTCGTTACCTCTGCAGCTTGTTCTGGGACAAGGTGTCGCTTGGCAAGGGCTCGTTTTGTAGCCGGGAATTGACACTTGATGTCAGGCGTCACAACTTTTCTTCCTAGGAGCGCGTTTTGGATTGCACTCGAATAAGCAACCCCTTGCCCGCAACAGTTTGGACACACGTGCGTGAGAGCAAGGCATACCAAACAGGAACTTGCACATCTCCACTATGACAAGATCAACCAGGCAAAGTTCAGAATGGCCTCGGTGACGCAACAGCTGAGCCACGCCCATGAAACATCCACACGAGTCCTGGGCAAGCAGCAACCGATCAAACATCAACACCTCGAATCCAACACTGCCTGCGACAACTCTCCAACCTTCTTGTCCTGTTTTTCAACCTCCAAATCCATAGCTTGAGAAAGCAACGCAGTTACTGAGCGCGTGCAAAGACCAGACTAGCCTCACGCAACTTGCTGCGAAGCTCTGCGAGCTGTTGCCGAAGGATCGGCACCTCCAATGGCAGCACGGCAGTCAGCAACAACAAGTTCTGCGCCTGTGCCCACAGCCAAGCCTCTGCTGCCGCCGCTTTCAGTTCCTCCAGCACGTTTTTGGGCTTGGCAAATTGCACGCAGCCTTAGCTCCACACGCCTAATGGAGCTTACGACTGGCACGCAGCATCAATCAAGCGCCACGCAGGCTGGCACCTCTGGGTCAAAGTAGCCGCCTCGTTTGGGGAAGTGCTGGCGTGTCTGGAGTGAACGTGTTTAGCGCGCATTGCCTTAAGGCAGCACGGGGCTCACATCAGAATGGCAGGTAGAGGACCCTCCACGCAATAAATCAGCCATCACTGTTTGCGGATGGCTGTACAAGAAGACAAACTGGGCTGCGTGTCCCAATCTTCTAGTATAGGCATACTTGCGTGTACCAGAAAGAGATTCCTGCCACTTCTGATTAAAGACTTGTTCTGCTTGGCTGCCAAGTCGCTGTGGAACCAAATAAGGATGGTGTCGGGGCCCCTGAGCGATTCATTGCGTTTCACTGATTTCACTGCAGTTGAAAAAAACTAGTGGTGCTAGGACCTGCGATCGAACCAATGGGCGCGATGGCATCTCAGACGAGCTGTACATCCCACAGCGCCCGCACCATCCCGCACCCCTCTCTTGTTAACTATGGCTATAGGGCTCGGCAAAGGTTGGCTCGAGCCCCCCCCGTGGCCGACGAGCAGGTACTTGTGCCAGACTGCACTTATGTGCAGAGGGATTCTTGTACTTCGTACGAAGTAAGACGGTCTTTATGATGGAAGCGCAAGTTCCAGAGTTGTCTTGCGAGGTGTGCGACTGCATCTCACCTGTGACGTACACATGGATCACGTACTAACCCCATGGCAGGAGTTCCCCCGAGAGATCTGGATCTCCAGGATCCCCAACTTCGACATCACTCCACGACCATGTCTATGACGACTACAAGAACTTTGCCGTGGCAATGACGCTGTTACTAGACCGTCACCGTAAACATCTGAAACAGATGCTTAATGACAGAATTCGCCGATAGCCGGCTCATAGCGCATGTCTGCAGCTCAACGAGTGAGGTCCCCTCCTGTTCTACCTACTCTCGTCTCCTAGGCGATGTGAAAACAAGCCAATCCGTTTGAGCTGTGCATATCTACACTTGGCCCATCTTCTTTCCCGTATTTTTGCTCAAGTCAACGCGCGAGTGAGGTCCCCTCCTGTGCAAGCTTGACCCTGGAAAGCCTTCCTCCAGTTCTCAGCAGGGAACAAACCATGGAGGTGCGTCTCGAAGCCCTTTTCCTGCCGCTCCCGGTCTACCCTGTCTCCCACTCGGGAGCAGTGGCACCCTCAAGAATCTCGGCAGAAGACGCGCTCCAACACTCGGACCGCCAGGTACGCATAGCCTCGCGCGCCTGCAGCTTTATGAAGCTGCTCACAGAGAAAGTCAACTGGAGATTGGGGGACCTCCGGCTCTACCTCCCCAAGACTGCGACCCGACAGCTAGCAGCCAAACGCAAGCATGATGAGATGATGCTCACCGAGCCTCTAGAGAACACTCTGACCTATCATCAGAGGCGCCAGCTTATCTTCATCTCCCAGGCGATCCGGGACTACACGAACGACGGTCCCGGTCATAACTCATTTCAGCTTGGCGATGCAGAGCTTACCATCCTACGGATTTGGA